AGGGTGTGAAAAGCTTTAAGAATGGCCCCGGGGGGTGGCTCCACCCCCCCCACTCCCCCCCCCCCGCCATCCTCTGTCCTACTTCTGCATAATTTTTCCCATCGCCTTTGAATTTAAGGACACGTCCACCCGCTTGGGACAACTGTCCGCACTGAGGACCCGCGCCTTCGTGCACGCGTGAAACTTTCTTTCCCTTTCCAATTTTGCCCGTTTGGCGTGCAAATAAAAAAGTCCTTTTGCCTTTCTAGGGTGCTTAAAGCATGTTTTAAGTACACAGCGTCTCGTACTTATTAAGCCCAAAATAATAATTGTATTATCTATTTTCCATCTTTGCCTCGGCGGAAAATAAAACAGACTTTTGGCCACTTTATTGGAGGAAAACCGGGGGGAGGGGGTGTTAAAAGCTGACAGGCAATTGCCAGCAAGGCCTTTTCTCTCCTTGTCCCTTCTCCACCCCCCCGCTTGTAAAACTGTTTGGTGTTTCTAGATTTCTGCCCTGCGTAGCAAAAGCAATTCACAGGATCCCACAGATTCCCAGAAATGGCACAGCCAGTTCTGCGAGGATGACCTCACGGAAACACACCCCTGCAAAGAAGGGCAGGGTAATCAGTGGGGCTGGGTGCGCCCCACGGGCCAGAGTCCAATCAGAAAGTTTGCCCTGGGAAAGTCATAATCCACCCACCCACCCAAACTACCTACCCATCTTAAAACTTGGCCTCCACCACTGCCAATCTGCCATTCCAAAGGGCACAGTCAGAATCAAGGCTTCCTCAAGAGTAAGAGAGAGGAAAAAAACAGCTTGCTGATTAGAAGCTCGTTTCAGCTCTGCTTCTGGGAAGTGGGGTGGGGGTGGCAGGAATGGGAGGAGGTCTTCGCCGGACTCCATTTGCACACCCAGGAGAAAAAGCCCACCGATGCCCAGGCACAATTGCTGTGGCATGAGCGCCTCTCCGTGCCAACAGGAGCTGGAACCCCACAAGATCATTAGGGTTGAATGATCCTGCCCCCCGCCCCCGCAGCCCTGCTGGGATGATGTTGGGCGATTTAGCTCTGCAACACGGACCACTGATTTTTCGTTTTGCAAGGGGGTATCGCCTAACGTGGCATCTTCTAGAAGGGGAATTGGGGTGGGAGTTTGTGAAGCTAACCAAGTGCGGTGGAACAGTCTAGGGAACAGAGCGACCAGGCCCAACTGCCAGGTCACTAAATGAGACCATCGTATCTTAATTGCGGCCACTTATTTCAGGACAGTGCCTAAACAGGTGCGCTGGAGCACCTCCCCACCCTGCCCAAGGTTGCCCCCAGAGTTTGCATGAACACAAAACAGCTGCTCCCCCCCCAAGAAGAAACAGATAAACGAAATCCTTCTGGCAAATCCTTTACTTCACTGGCTTTCCAATATTTGAACGTGCCGGGCGGGCAGAATGCAGGGGAGGCTAGTTGCCGACCCCAGTGAGCCTCTGACCACAGACGGAGGGAAGAGGATTGGAGCCTACTTGAGATTTGAATCAGGCTGACCTCCATGCACCCCATCTCTAGGCCCAAAAGGGGGGAGGGGGAGATACAGAGACGCTGGGTTCACCTAATATGCCAGGCTAGACTAGATATGGCACTGGGGTGGCTTGCCCTTGGTGAGAGGGCCGGGCCAGAGCATTACACCCCAATTCTGGTGCATTTGTGATAACAATGGTAACAAACCCTATTGTGGTTTGTTAACCTGGATCTGGCATCCGGTGTGGACCTAGCCGGAAGATAGCAACTTTCTGCCTCACTCAGCCGCGCCATCATGGCCCATCTACCTTGGTTCTGGACACAATGCCAAAGACTTGTTCTCCCCCCCCCCCACCCTTGCCCCACAACGAAAGGGGGGGGGAGGGGGAGATACAGAGACGCTGGGTTCACCTAATATGCCAGGCTAGACTAGATATGGCACTGGGGTGGCTTGCCCTTGGTGAGAGGGCCGGGCCAGAGCATTACACCCCAATTCTGGTGCATTTGTGATAACAATGGTAACAAACCCTATTGTGGTTTGTTAACCTGGATCTGGCATCCGGTGTGGACCTAGCCGGAAGATAGCAACTTTCTGCCT